GGTCTGGCAGGGTCTTCTTGTTTGGAGGGTCTGTTCTTGTCTAGGGGGCTGTCCAGGTCTGGGGGGCTGCTCTGGTCTGGGGGGTTTTGTGAGTGTGGGGGAGGTTGCCCCATCCTCTTGGCCTACCTGGAGGCTCAGGCCTGGGGATCTCAGGTGGCCACATCTTCTGGGTGTGGGGTCCCTGTGTTCCTGGCCCCTATCACCTGTTCGTCCCCATGAGGTGGGCTGTGGCCTGGGTGCCGGTTGGGAACACAGGCTGGGCCCTGTCTGGGCCTCTGTTACCTTCCCTCCTTACAATGGGCTTATATCCCTACACACAGAATTGTGTGAGGACCCCAAAGCGTGCCCCACTTTCCACGTGCCCAGGAGCCCCAGCTCGGGACCAGGGCAGCACCCTTGGCTGCCACTTTTCTGGGGACACGATAAGACACAGGCCCATGGGATCAGGTGCCAGGACCTCCCTTGGAGGGCAGTTTTGGGCTTTGACCCCTGCTCTGGGCTGTGAGGGGCACAGGGTCAGCCTGGGGTCGTTTGAGAGCTGAGACCCCTCGCTGGGTGTCCAGGCAGAGGAGGAGGTGGGTACCTCAGCCACAGAGCTGGGGGAGCTCAGGCCTCTCAGACAGCATTCCTGGGTCCACCTGCTGCCCAGGGGCCATCTGGCACCAGCTAAGAAGGTGCAGAGTCAGATGAGAGGCACCTTTAGGGCTGAATTTCCAGAGAAACCGTGTTAAGAAGCCCCAAGCTTGGCCTTCGGTGGAAAGCTGCTTCCTAGGATGACTGGCCCCACCCCAGGTTCCCCCGCAGCCCAGGAGTCCCAGGCAGCCCCCTCAGGGCTCCAGAGAGAAACCTCCACCCTGGGAGAGCCCGGGGTGGGGCCACAGAGAGGAGACAGAGTCCTGGGACCCAGTGCAGGCTGGCGCGGGGCTGCTCCTGGGGAGGGTGGCACGGGAGAAGTGCGGCAAAGCATGGGGCCACATGGTGGGGGCAGCGTCCCAGTCCCATCTTAGGAGCCAAGGGGGCGACTTGGATCCTGCTGGGGCTGAAGAGGCTCCTGCTGACCGTCACAGGCCCCTCTGATGCCCATGGCACTTCCAGCAGGCGTGGTTCCCAGGGAGGGGTCTTTGGCCACGGGAGGCTGTCTGAGCCCAAGGACTGCCTCTAAGGCAGTGGCTCTCCAGGGGTGGGTCTCCAGGGAGACGGGGAGGGAAGCCCTTGCCTCTGGAGGGCGGGGTGGGGACGCTGAGTGCAGCCGGGGTGCTCATGGCCGCCCCCTCATAGGAACCATGGGGCTCTCCCGGAAGGAGCAGGTCTTCATGGCCCTGCTGGGGGCCTCGGGGGTCGCAGGCCTCACCGCACTCATTCTCCTCCTGGTGGAGGCTGCCAGCGTGCTCCTGCCCGCCGACCTCAAGGTGCGTCCCCGCCAGCAGGGAGGCCGGGCTGGGCCCACAGGTGCTGCCTCCACTCATCCCACTGTCTCCCCAGTTTGGGATCGTGTTTGACGCCGGCTCCTCCCACACGTCCCTCTTCCTGTATCAGTGGCCAGCAGACAAAGAGAATGGCACGGGTGTGGTCAGCCAGGCCCTGGCCTGCCAGGTGGAAGGTCAGTGGGCAGTTCCACAGCCCGGTGCTGGGACCCGCCATTGCTGCCTGGCTGGGATTCCCAGCTGCATGGAAAGCGTTTGGAGGGGCTAAATGACCTGGCCAAGGTCACACGCCAGGCATGGGTGCCGGGCTGGAGCCCAGGTCACCCGGTGGCACTCTGGGGACCTCCTTGCCTGACCCCGATTCTCACGGCCTGGCCCGGATCTGCCCTGCGTCTGCTGCCTCCGGCCCGACCCTCTCCAGCCCCTGGTGCTCCCTACCCTGGCACCATGTGGTGCTGGCAGCCAAGGCTGGTAGCCACAGGGGTGCCTGCACTCCAGGACCCTGAGGGGAAAACAGGAGGCCCCAAATTTGTTTTCAGGGGGCTCTAGTAACAAATTACCACAAATTGGAGGCTTAAACCCAGCCGTTTATTTCCCAACATTCTAGAAGAATGAAAACAATGTGTGGACGGGCTCACCCCCCTCCAGGGGCTCCAGGTCAGGGACCTTCCTGCCTCCTCCAGCCAGGCAGCCCTTGGCCGGTGGCCACACCAGGGCTCAGGTGGTGGTCTCGTCTTTGGGGGCTGCCTTTCAGCCCAGCCAGGCTGTGGAGTCTGGAGCTCTGTCCCCGGGTGTGTTCCAGGCCCTGGAATCTCCTCCTACGCTTCGGACCCGGCACAGGCCGGTGAGAGCCTGCAGGGCTGCCTGGAGGAGGCGCTGGTCCTGATCCCAGAGGCCCAGCGTCGGAAAACACCCACATTCCTGGGGGCTACGGCTGGCATGAGATTGCTCAGGTGAGATGGGCATGGCCTTGGCACCCACAGGGAGTGGCTGCAGAAGCTGTGGTCTCAACCCTCGTGGCAGGCAGGCTGGGGCCGGGCCCAGGCTTCCAGCCAGCCCCAGCCCGTGGTCCTCTGTGTCCAGACAGAAGAATAGCTCTCAGGCCAGGGACATCTTTGCAGCAGTCACCCAGGTCCTGGGCCGGTCTCCTGTGGACTTTTGGGGTGCCGAGCTCCTGGCTGGGCAAGACGAAGGTGCCTTTGGTTGGATCACCGTCAACTACGGCTTGGGGATGCTGGTCAAGGTGCCACAGGCAGCCTGGGGTGGGGGCTGGGCTGCGAGCGGCCAGTGTTGAGCTGGTGACCAGGGCGGGTCCCAGTGGCTGCTCTGGGCTGAGTGCCCCCTTCTGTGCCCAGTACTCCTTCACTGGAGAATGGATCCGGCCTCCAGAGGAGACGCTGGTGGGCGCCCTGGACATGGGGGGAGCCTCCACCCAGATCACCTTTGTGCCTGGGGGCCCCATCTCGGACAAGAGCACGCAGGCTGATTTTCGCCTCTATGGCTCCGACTACAGCGTCTACACGCACAGCTACCTCTGCTTTGGACGGGACCAGATGCTGAGCAGGCTCCTTATTGGGCTGGTGCAGGTCAGCCGGCCGGGGGAGGGCGCACGGGGCTGAGGGAACAGAGCTACGGGCATGGGGCTGGCGTGGGTCATGGGGCCCAGGATGGACCGGGCTGGTGCTCAGGCCCCCCTGCCCTCTGCAGAGCCACCCGGCTGCCCTGCTCCGTCACCCATGCTACCTCAGCGGCTACCGGACCACGCTGGCCCTGGCCCCCTTGTACGAGTCACCCTGTGTCGACACCACGCCTCCCCTGGGCCTTCCCCAGAATCTTACAGTTGAAGGGACAGGCAACCCTGGGGCCTGCGTCTCAGCCATCCAGGAACTTTTCAACTTCTCCGCTTGCCAGGGTCAGGAGGACTGTGCCTTCGACGGGGTCTACCAGCCCCCAGTACGGGGCCAGTTCTACGTAAGCACCCGCCCCACCCCCGCCCCCACGTGGGCACCCGCCCCGCCCCCGCCCCCGCCCCGCCCCCGCCCCGGGGTCCTGGCTTCCTTGTGAGGCCCTGGGTGCCTGCCTGACTCCAGCAGGCTCAGGAGAGGCCTGGGCTGGCTCTCGGGGGCTCTGGGAGCCCGGGTGGGTGGCGGTCTGACCCGCGTGGCCACAGCCGCCTCCCCTCCCGCCCAGGCCTTCTCCAACTTCTACTACACGTTCCACTTTCTGAACCTCACCTCCGGGCAGCCCCTGAGCACCGCCAACGCCACCATCTGGGAGTTTTGCCAGAGGTCCTGGAAGCTGGTGGGTGGGCCCTGCGCTCCCCGGCTGCAGTGAGGGTTCCTGAGGGTGCAGGGCTACCCCGGGCAGGATGCTGGAGCCTCATTCTGGGGAGAGTGGCCAACAGGGCTGGGGAGGCACGGGCAGAGGACAGCTCCAGGTAGGAAGCTGGGGCCACGGCTGCAGCTGGGCCCAGCCTCTGGCCTGCTGAGGGGGCTGCACCCCGCACCACTTGGCTGGTCAGTGGAGCCCCACGGGGACAGCAGGAAGGGGCCCCTGCCACTGCCCAGCACCCCCTCTTGTCTGGGTGCTCAGGCTGGCCAGGGCAGATGGGCGGTCCCAGTGTGACCAGGGATGGGGCCCTCACCTGGCCCCTCGGCCTCCTGCGCCCAGGTGGAGGCCAGCTACCCCGGCCAGGACCGCTGGCTGCGCGATTACTGTGCCTCAGGCCTGTACATCCTCACCCTTCTGCGAGACGGCTACGGCTTCAGTGAGGAGACGTGGCCCACCATCCAGTTCCGAAAGCAGGTGACCCCCTCCCCAGGGCGTGGGCAGGCTGTGGCCCCGGGGTGGCTGCGCTGCAGCCCTGAGCAGCCGTGTGTCCGCAGGCAGACGGCATCGATATCGGCTGGACGCTGGGCTACATGCTGAACCTGACCGGGATGATCCCGGCCGAGGCGCCAGCTCAGTGGCGGGCACAGAGCCACAGCATCTGGGTGGCCACAGTGGTGTTCCTGGTGCTGACCCTGGTCACGGTGCTGGGGGCTGCCTCGGTTCAGCTCTTCTGGGTGCAGGACTAGCAGGAGGGCAGAGGCGCACCCCCAGAACCCTCAGGCAGCTGCGCCCCGGATGCTGTAGGCTTCCCAAGGCCCGAGCACCGTGGGGCCTTGCTGTGTGTCTCTGCCCACGGTCAGGTGACAGCCACCTCTGGGGCACCCTCAGGGTGCTGTGTGGCCTCCCTCCCCGGCGTCCCTGGGGCCCTCCCCACTGGGCTTCCAGGGCCCTGGGTGCCCTTCTGCACACCAGCCGTCAGGACTGCGGTGCCTCCAGGCTGTGTGGCTGCAGGGGCCTCAGGAGGGGCAGCTGGGGCAGAGGGGAGGGAGCCGCCCCGCCTGGACCCTGCTCTCCTTGCTGTTGTCTGAGCAGATAGGCCCAGGGTCTTCTCCTGGGCCAGGCTGGCCTCCCACACGCCTTTGGAGGGTTGGACCGCAGTGGGGTGTTGCTTTTATTAAAACCATCGTGGACACAGCATTGCTAGGGCTGATCTCCCTGCTGGGACCAGGGCAGGCGGCCGGGGGCTCCCGACATTCAAGGGTGAGTGGGAACCACGAAGCACTTGGGGAAGATGCCGACGCGGCCGTCACAGTGGCCTTCCAGCCATGCCTGGTCCACTGCAAGGGGGAAGGTGGGCGCTGCAGGGCATCGCCCGGGTGTGGCCTCGGTGCCACGGCTGCTCACGGCACAGGCTGAGCCCTGAGACCCCCCATGCCCCGGGTGCCCTAGCGCTGCTTGGGAAGGGCCACGCCCACTCTACCTTCACACAGGACGTCCACCGTGGCCCCCTGTCTGAAGTCCAGATCCTCTGGCCCCTGAGCTGAATAGCCATGCTGGGCCACCACCTGGTAGAGGACTGGCCGGCCCCCGGCTCCCTGCAGCAGAAGCGTGGGCTATAGGGCGGGCCGTCGCTGGGAGGAGGGGCCCCTACCGCCCACCGGGATGTCCCCGCGTCTGCCTCACCCTGCACTGCAGCTGCAGCCCCCGGGGGCTGGCAGCCGCGTCCAGCCAGGCCCTCTGCAGTGACTCCTCCCCGGCGATGGGGACCCAGCGGTCATCCTCACCTGGGGCTTGGTAACTGCAAAGAGATTCCTCAGAGGAGCTGCGTGGGTGGGGCGTGCAGGGAGGACAGGGACCTCTGCCACGCCCTCTTCCAGCAGCTGCCTCAGCCAGGGTGGTGCCCAGCGTAGAGCCCACCCCCACCTGAGCCGGCCCACCCCCACCTGAGTTGTCCCAGCTGGGCCTGGCGAGGGAGGGCCTGGCTCAGCAGTGCCCGCAGGCTGGACAGGTCGGCTCCTCTTCGTGCCGTCAGGGCCACGGTGAAGGCGCACTGCACAGTGACAGTCACCAGCGGCTCAGCGCATCCCAAACCTGCTTCCTGCGGCCAGGAGGGGAAGGGATGGCCTTCTTCAGCCCCAGGAGTGTTGGCACAGGCTGGGCGGGGGGGAGGGGCTTGCAAGGCTTGATTCTGAGGGATGGTTTGGCCTTGGCCCTCCCTCCTCCCACCGGTGGCTGACAGGTGAAGGGTCTGGAGCCTCTTACACCAGCAGCTGCTGGGTCCTCAGAGGGGCTGGGGCCAGGCACCCCCATTGCCGGCAGCCCTGCAGGACAGAGCAAGACTGATGCAACCTCTCCCACCAAATCAGGCCCTGTGCGTGGAGGAGCACAGGCACCGCGCACCAGCAGCCTCCTCTTCACCCGGGGACCCCGCCGCTAGGGACCCCCATACCTGGGGACAGAGGAGTCGGTCTGCCATCTTGCTCCATCTGGGCCCGCTGCAAGGGAAGCACAGGTGCTGGGACAGGGCCATCAGGAGCTGGAGGCAGGCACCGCCCTAGCAGAGCCCACGGGCAAGGGTGTGGCCTGTGTGCTCAGCCACTGCCCTGCAGGCAGCCTGCAGGAGTTGAATTGGGAGCCCCGGCCACAAGTGGGCTGCCTCAGGATGGGGCTGCCTGTCACCAGCAGGGAGCAGCCCATCCCCCCAGGCCCACTGAGGCGGCAGCTGCAGGTGGGTGGGCTCCCCAGTGACCCCAGGAAGCTCAGGACCCAGTCCCTGGCCCCTGTGTGGGCTGGACGTTTACCATGTGCCCTGAGTTAGGCACCCTCCCATCTGGCTGGCCCTGTCGAGCCCCAGTGAGCTGCTCCCTCTGCCCTGGTGCTGGTTCCACTGTGGTCCCTGGCCTGAGGAAGCAAGAGGGGCTCCGACCCCGAGTAGGGAGAGGCCCCGCACACACCTGCTCTCGGTGTGCAGCCAACGTGCAGCTGTCAGCACTGACCTCTGTCTGTGCATGGAGGGCACCCTGCTGGGTGCCAGCTCTTGCGGAGTCCCTGATGGGGGTGCTGGGGAGAGGAGGGCAGCTCTCAGGCCCTGCCCATCTCAGTGCCCTCCTGTGCCCGGCCGCGCCTCGTGAAAGGCAGGCCGGAGGTGCAGCTCCAGGGATTGCTCTGTCTCTCACCCCCATGACACCTGGAGCCCCGGCTGTCTCTGTAGCCCCATTTGTGTTTGGGGGTCCCCTGGGGGGTTGGACCTCCTCCCTAGGCTGCTCTCCAGCCTTTGGTGCTGCGGGCAGTCACGGTGCCCCTGTAGGTCTCAGCAGCCTCCCAGTGCCACCCCCAAGGCCCGGGTGCCCCCACCTCCCTGAGGGGCAGTTTTAGGGGAGGTGGAGCTGGTGGAGCAGAGAGAGAAGCTGGGCTCCCCTTCCCAAGCTCTGGGCCCTGGACAGTCTCTGTCTGAAAACAGGCTGTCCGTCCTGTGCCTGTGCCCGGAGTGGCCCCACGTGGAGGTCCTCTGCCCAGCAGGAAAGGGGTGTGCTCTTGGGCCGAGCTGGCCCCTCCTACCTGGCATCATGGTTCATTCCCGCTCCCTGTGGACACAAAGCACCAGCCTGCTCTGTTTAGGGTTGGGGCCGCCCTCCCTCCTCCTGAACCCCAAAGACAGTTTCTCCAGGTCTCACACAGGGATGGGACGGGCACCCCACACCTCCCAGCAGAGGAACTTTGGGGCCCTGGAGCTTGTGTGGCATTTTCTTTCCCACGTAGCTGGGTGAGGCCAGGCAGGGGCCTGAGGGGCCGCAAACCCACCTGCGGCTGCTGCGGGCGGACGGCCCAGCGCTGGTCGTCAGGGACGGCAGAGGACACCACCTGGCAGGGACAGGGGGCGCGGGGTCAGGGATCAGCCGCCGGCGACGTCGGCTCCACCACCCCCTGCAGCTCTGAGTCTCCCGGGGGCTGGGTGGCGGCTGCCCACACCTGGCCTGCGTCTTTCAGGCCACCGTGGAGGGAAGCATCTGCTGGCAATGTTAATTTTAGTACAACTTTAAAAACATTTTTTTCTTATAAACAGCCCTCCACTGTGACACGCGGACTCCAACACAGGTCAGAGGCCTGCTTCGTGTACTCCTAGGTCCCCCGCTCTGGTGGCTGTGCCCGGCCACACAGGTGCAAGTGCAGGGGACTGACGGGGTGTGGCTAGCCAAGGTGACCCTGTCGCCGCCCCCAGGAGTTCTCCACCACATCTGGCCCCTGCCTTTGGGGGCAAGCAGCTCCCCGTTCCTCTGACTTTAGGTGTTCTGCCTGGCCCTGACCCAAGTGTGGGCGTGACATGGCCCAGACCGTCAGACTGCAGCCCGAGCCCCCGAGAGACCTCGCTCTCTGTGGCAGAGACACACAAAGGGATGCAGAGAGATGTGGGGAGACTCTGGGGGGACTCCTGGGGGACGGGGGGACTCTGGGAGGAATCGGGGAGACTGAGAGGACTCGGGGGGACTCTGGGAGGAATCGGGGAGACTCTGGGAGGACAGGGGGACTCTGGGAGGATGGGGGGACTCTGGGAGGATGGGGGGACTCGGGGAGAACATGAGGCTGTGGCTGTGGCCGAGGCTGGGTGGGGGTGGCACAGCAGGGTCCTTGCTGGTAGAGCAGAAGCCCCCTCCATGCAGCTGGCTCTAGTGGGCTCCGCCTCCAAGTTCACAGCACCCCCCCCCACTCTGGTCACGGCTTGCAGATGGCTGTGGGCCCACTCCCCAGCCTCCTGGTCTTTGTGGTGGCCTGGGCTGTACCCCCATGTCCCTGGGAACACAGTTTGAGGGCTCAGCACCGGCTGTGATGCCCAGGATGCTGCCCTCACCTTTACCTTGGCCTTGCCCAGGAAATCCATGGGCTCCAGATGGTCCAAGTGCCGCCGGTGGGGCCGGAAGACCTCGCCCCTGGGGACCTGCCTCAGTGGCAGCAAGCTTTGTCTCTGGAGAGGGTGGGTGTCCAGCAGATGCCGACCGGGCGACCGACCGGGTGACCAGCCAGGCCTGCAGCCCACAGCCTCTGCGCCTTGCAGCAGAAGGGGCCACGTGGGCCCCCGCCTCCTTCCTGCAGGCCATGTGAAGCCCCTGCCTGGCTCCCAAAACTGGGCACTAGGGTACCTCCCTCTGGAAGCTTCTTCAGCTCAGGAAGCTGGTCTTGAGGGGCTGTGGTAGACACCCACCCAAAACCCAGACCCAGGACAGCACTCCTCACCTGCACTTGGTCCAGAGCCGACTCCAGGCCATTCAGGGACCCCTCCGGCCAGTTGGACATGGCCCCCCTTAGGCTGCTGGCCGCCTCTGTCCACAGCCCCAGTTGGCACTGTGCTGATGCCACATTGTATAGCACCTGGGAGCGAGGCCAAGGTGATGGCAGGGGCGTGCCCCTTTCCCCTGGCGCCTGCCCTGGCTCCCCCACCCAACTCCTCCCCACTCCCCC